GCATCAAGGAGTACATATTAGTTTTTTCTCTTTCTGTATGTGTATCCCTTCTGGGGAATGGAAGCCTGGCCTATTGTTTGCTTTTTTTTTTTTTTTTTTTTGTGGTGCTGGAGATTGAACCCAGGGCCTTGTGCATGCAAGGGGGGGGGGGACTTTTTTCACTGCCCTCCTAGGTTCTCCAGTTTAAGCCCTGGAAATTAAACTGACAAAAGACGGAATCACAAGAAGAAAGCAAACAGGGTTTATTAACATGTGCACTATGTACACATGGGGCCGAAACTCCAGGAGGAGTAATTCAAAGGGAGTGGTTGGAACTTAGGCTTATGAAGCATCTACCAACTGAGCTATACTTCCAGCCCCCCCGCCTATTATATATAATTTATTTATACATTTGATCATTCCCCCATATGTATCCAAACTTCTGTTTCCACTACTGCCTCCTTCCATGCACAAATTCTTTTCTTTTCCCACTTGAGTTCTGAGCCTTATACTATGTACTTCTCCACATGGGACTTTTCTGTTTTCTAATCCTTAAAATAAATTTTAATTTCTATAATCATGTTTTCTATTTCTTTTTTTAGAAGTAACTTACTTCTTCCTTTCACTTTTTTTTTTTTTGTGGAGCCGGGGATTGAACCCAGGGCCTTGTGCATGCTAGATAAGCACTCTACCAACTGAGCTACATCCCCAGCTCTTCTTTTACTTTTTAATAGATTGCTGTTCTTGTTTCGTGAAACAATTCTTTTCTTATTTTTATAATGGTAATAATTCTAGTTTGTTCAGTTCTCTTCTGCTTCCATTATTATTTCTGGTTCTTCTAAATTCCTTTATACTGTTAGTTTTGGCCTTTGTCTTTCTTGTTGAAGGCTTTTCTTACATTCCTGGTGGTACTTAGCCTTGTGTTCCTGCATAAGAATGAGGCACTAACTAGAATATGGGGTGGAGGATAGAGATGCCAGATAAAATATAGATAACAGGTTAAATGTGAATTTCAGATAAATAATAAATAACTTTTTACTATAAGTATATCCCAAATATTGCATGGAACATTACTTATACAAAGTAATTATCCCTTGTTTATCCAAATTTAAAATTTATACAGGCATTCTTTGCTTTTCTTTGTTAAATTTGGTTACCCTAGGAGGGATGTTAATCAAATAGTGATTTCCTTAAGGGTAATTTTATGAGCCCCCAGTTTTTCTCAGACTTAATTTTCTCAGAGATAAATCCTTGAATTTTCCCCTTGGGGCTATAAACCCAGCTACTAATGTGCCACAAGCCAATGGTGGGAAGGGAGCAATGAACAGACTATCTCTAATGTCACTGTCCACCTCTCCCAGCTGTGCCAAGTTCCCCTCCTGGACATAATTCTGGAGGAGGGAAGGAGCAGCTGACTGGCAGGGAGAGCTGGAGAGGGAAACCAGAAGTGATTTAAATAGGTTTTATACAAACTTTCAACCAGTCCTTCTGTTTCAAGCCTGCCCAGCCATCGTCCCTTTAGAAGAACAAGTTGTACCCTGTATCTGAATCTGTGATTCTGAGACTGATTGATTTTTTTTCTAAGTTTAAGTTTTCCACTTTCTCTGAATATTTATTTCTCTCATTTACCATGTCTTTGTCTACTTTTCTTTTCATTTTTGTGGGTTTGTGTCATTTGAAAATTCCTTTACTAAATTTATCTTGTGAGTATAATGATAAATATGAGCATTCAATCTTCCATGTTTAACCGGACAACAAGGTTTTTTTCTGTTTATTTTATTGACTAATGTACCCAGAGGAGAAATAATCTCTAATGTATTACATATTCTAGTATGCTGGGAAGGAGTTGTTTGGATTATACCCAGAATTTTCCCCTAATTTTCTTTTCCTCTACTACCAGTGAAAGACTCTTATATGAATTCTTTGACCTTCAGACTTGGTATTTTGGCACCATCAGCTCCCCAAGGAGGACCGGTCTACAGCACCTATAAATCTTTACTGTTAACCATGTGAATTTTAAATCTAACCATTCCCTGAATGTCTGTGACTTAGAGCAATCAATTTAGATAAGGGCAGGGTTTATTGTTTTTTATGGCCTTATAATAAGTACTGTTTGCTCATGATAATTGGTTTACAAAAGCTCTTAAGTCACTAATAAATAAGTAGCTGGAGTCATTTGTTAAGTGGAGGGTGAAGAGTCCCAAGTCCAGAGAATCCTGGTCCTCACCTAGTTCCTCAGACATACCCTCTGAGAAGACCAACCCTAGGAAATTTCAAAGGTAGTCTTAAAAAATATTAGTTTTGCCAATTTATCATGTTGTAATTGAACTACACATTGGTGTGGAGATTAGCCCAGTGGTAGAGTCGTAGAGTGCTTTCCTAGCATGTGCAAGGCCCTGGGTTCAATCTCCAGTACCTGCCTCTCCCACAAAAAAAAAAAAAAAAAAAAAAAGAACTGCATGCTACATGTGGCAAATATTGTAGGCAGTAAAATTCAGGCTGATCATCTCCATAGTCAAGGAATGGAAATGAGTAGCAACAGGAAGTAGCACTGTCAGCTCTCCCTACACTTGGCCCCATTTTACAGATAATAAAATACTTGTAGCAAGTAAGTAGTGTCATTGGTATTCAAACTCATAGTTGTTGGACATTGTCTCTTAGAGAGTTAGACCCTCTTTGAATTAAAAGTCTTCAAGGGGTTGGGGATGTGACTCAAGCGGTAGCACGCTTGCCTGGTATGCGCAGGGCACTGGATTTGATCCTCAGCACCACATAAAATAAAATAAAGATGTTGTGTCCACTGAAAACTGAAAAATAAATATTAAATCTCTCTCTCTCTCTCTCTCTCTCTAGGAGGAAAAAAAAAAAAAAAAGAATCTTCAGGGCATGGTAGTGCATGCCTGTAAACCCAGCTACTCAGGAAGCTAAGTCGGGAGAATCACTTGAGCCTAGGAGTTTAAGACCAGTTTGGACAACATTGTAAGACCCCTGTGTCAATCAATCAATCAAATAAACAACAACAATAAAAAAAATTTGAAAGGACTGTATTGGTTCTGGAAAGCATACAGTAAAACTAAAAAACTTTTTGCAGAAGGAAATTTCCAACTCTATTTTCAAAACATGATTTTCTACATTATTTCTCTAGCAGATATTATAGGATAGCAGGGCTGGGAAGACAGTTGTTTTGATGAAATGATAGACCAATCTACCATATTGTGAACTTGATGTTAGTATCAGCCATCAAAATCAAGAATATGTGGTGGTGATAGAGGCAAGAACTGGAAATCTCTCTTGGTTAGGTCACAGTTAAAGAGCACTGATTTGTATACATGTATTGCTGGGAATTGAACCCAAGGCCTCGTGCATGCTAGGCAAGAGCTACACTCTGAGCTAATTCCCATTTGCACAGGTTTTCCTTCATAACGGACAAATTCATCTTCAGGAAAATCAAGAGACCTCTTCCCCTAATAACAACAACAAACCCCCCCCAAAAAAAACCCTCCAAGCTCAATGGAACTCAGACCTGAGCCTGGAGGTGACTCTCTATCACCTCTAGGTGGGGAGAGATTGGAGAGAGAGAGGAGTTCCTATGAAAACTTTCATGTGAAGAGAAAAAGATGGATACCTATGTATATCACTCTCAGGTAGCCAGAAGAGTCTGGAAATATAAGATTTTTATGTTCATTTTAATTGTTTTGATGTCTTAACCTAATAATAAATTGTCAGTAAATCACTTTTATGCAATAATAAAAGGTGCATAAAATGTTACTGCTTCTTCCTATTCAGGACCCCCTCCTCAGCTTGGAGTGTTATTGAGAAACATTTCATTCAGGTAAGTTGGCAGTTTATCAGAGCATAGAGGACACCCTGACAATTACCCTCCATGCTGTAGCAGACAATATAAAAATCCTCTAGGTCCAAATTCCCTCTGACTCCCAAGAGCATATCTTGAAGAAGGAGCAGCTTTGGCGTCCCAAAGAATTTTTTTTACCTGATTATTTGGTTAAAAAAGAAAGAAAGCCCATATTCCTATTCTTAGAGGTTAAGGGTCGGTGAGTGGAGAGATATAAGTGATTAATAAAAGCGATAAATGGTCATTCTGTGTTAAACCCAAGATGTATGGATTTTTACTTTGTTGTTGGTGGCAGTTAGATGGGGTCTTGCTCTTTGCTCAGCCTGGTCTCAAACTCTTGGTCTCATGTGATCTTCTTGTCTCCTGAGTAGCTATACTATAGATGTGTTCCACTAAAGCTGTGTATAGATGTGTATAGATGTGTTCCACTAAAGCTGCAAGGATTTTTAGATTGGGTTTATATAATAACATTCTTGAATTCCTTCTAGTTATCAGTGAAGTCATAGTGACCATAGAAAGCCACCATCCATGGAAAAACAGTCATTCCAGATTTCTTCCATGTGACTCCAGCATGCCTTGCTGATGTTTGATTTCTAATCCCTTGGTTTAAGAGGACAGGAGGAACTCCTTTACAAATTACCACATAGAGTACTAATTGTCGATACTGATTTTGTAAAAAGCAAGTCTTTTCTGAGTCTGTTGCAAATTCCCAAGAGATTTGAATCTATCCTAGTCTGCTCTTCCTACCAAGAAGTGCATGGCATCAAAAGGAGCAGTTGTAAAATTAAACAATGATGAGGTGATGCAACTTCAAAGTGGTTGGAAATTCTTGATATAATAGGTAGTAAAGTCGCAGAGTAAAAGCAGTGACTTGACTTCATGATGACTAATATGACAACCTCAGCACTTCACTTGGTTGCTGTTGCCGAAGGAGGAGGGAGCAGGAAGGCAGGGAGATGAGGGGCGGAGGAGAGCTGCCTCAGTTGTGACAGTTCTACTAGACCATAAATTTAGCTAATTATTAGTATCAGCTGTTACTTGTTATTTAATTCCGTAGTGCTGCTCTGTAATTCTACAACTCTTAAGTTGGCAAAGCAAAAGCATTTTGTAATGGAGATAGCGGTATGAATGATTCTATATAAATTGAAGCTTACATTTCTTGTTATAGGTTTGGAGTCACCCTATCAAGCTGGTATGACCATGAATAAAGAAGATGAGCTGCTAAGGAAGAGGTTGAGGGACAGCCGGTGTTTGTTTTAAGCCAATTTTCTATAATCCCTGTCACTAGAAACAGAGGGCCAGTGGATAAAGCATGAAATCTGTGTTTAAAGCCAAAGGTGTGGGTTCTATTGCTGATTTTGTCATCATTTTGACCTTTTAGGAAAGAGATGAAATGAAAATGTTTGCCTTGTATCTTTCTGTCCAGGATGTAATAGACCAAAACATAAGAGAAAAATGTAGGCTTCCCTAAAGTAACACATTAAGTAAACGTCAGGTGGTATCACCCCAAAGGTCTTCTAGCCATAATAATTTCACTTGAAATCTATTTATTTAGGAAACAGAAGACAGAAAGCCCTGGAGCTTCAAACTGATACTCCTTTAATGCACCTATGTTAAAATATTTCCAGGACTGTAGGCAAAATAAGTCCACTGGAAGATTAAGAAAACATCTGTGTCTACAAATTGAGCTTCCTTATAGTGTCAAGATGTATCTTCAACTATTTCATGTAAAGACGTATAAGGTGGACACGGTGGTACACTTCTATAATCTCAGTGACTTGGGAGCTGAGGTAGGAGGATCACAAGTTTGAGGCCAGCCTCAACAATTTAGTGAGGCCCCAATTTAGCGAAGCAACTTAGTGAGACCCTATCTCAAAATAAAAAAATAAAAAGGACGAAGGTTGTAGCTCAGTGGTTCAATACTCAGTCGCCCCCAAAAATTGTGAAAAAATTATAAAACTTTATAAGGAAGATTTAAAAAATAAAAATAATGTGGAAACATGAGAAAGCAACATGACATAGGCAAAATTCAGACACTTAATAGATAAGCTAGTGAACATCAGCTACTATGTGTGTCAGGTACTGTGTGGAGCTGAGTCTGTAGGGATGAGTGAGAATCTAATCTCCAAATTATTTAAAAATTACATGCTATTCTGATCACGTCAAATCTGGTGTGTGTGTGTGTGTGTGTGTTTTTAAAGTAGGTGTCTTAGCTTGTTTGTGCTGCTATAACAAAATACCACAGATTGGGTAATGTATAAACAATAGAAGTTTATTTCTCACAGTTCTGGAGGCTAGGGCATCCAAGTTCAAGATGTTAGCATTTGGTATCTGGTGAGGGCCTTCTTGCTGTGTTCTCATGTTCAGAAGAGGTGAATAATAGGTCCTCACATGGAGAAAGCAGGAAGGACAAAAAGGGCCTAAACTAGTTCCCTTCAGTCCTTTTATAAGGCACTAATCCATTCATGAAGGTGGAGCTCTTATGACTTAATCACTTCTCCAAAAGTTCCACCTCTTAATATGGTCACAATAGGAATTAAGTTTTAATATAAATTTTGAAAAGGACACATTCAAACCGTAGTGGTAGTCTAGACATAAATAATAAATGGGATAGAAATAAAATAGGGTAGTCAGGCATGGCTCAGCCAGCATTCCTTGGCAAGGGTCCCAATAATGCCTTTGGCAACAATTTATAGGGGTTCAGTATTGAAACTGGAGAGCAAAGCAGGGGTGCTACCCTGATTTTATCCTAGCCTTCTACAACCTTGTCAGCAAGAAGGCTTAACCCCTGGGGTCTCCTGAAGCTCATTCAGCCTCTTGGTCAGGTTTCCTATCCTTCTTTGCAGCTATTCCTGCACCCCAACTTGGTTTACTGGGATGTCAGTGAAGGAAACCCATGGCAGCTCTTTCTGAATTTATTGATCCCAATTTTGTAAAATGTTTCCTAGTGAAAAAGGACAGCTATTGTCACAAGTTTTTCATGTAGAAGTTCCCATTTGTCATCTGGAAAACTGGAAGCCATTGAGCTTACTGGCCTGCTCACCAGTATAGTATAGATGATAATGGAGGGTCTAGCAATGTGGGATGGCTTGATCCTCAGCTGACATCCACTGAGTCCACACAACTGCCCAGGCATTATAGAAAGAGGTCACACAGTTCTAGATAGATATGCAATCCAAAGTTGCATTCTTTTTTTTTCCTTAATATTTTACTTTTTAGTTGTAGTTGGACACAATACCTTTGTTTATTTTTATGTGATGCAGAGGGTCGAACCCAGGGTCTCTCATGTGCTAGGCGAGCGCTCTACCACTGAGCCACAACCCCAGCCCCACAAAGTTGCATTCTTCACATCTTAAATTTTAAGGAGGAACTTTAAAATATGCAGGCTAAATCTACTTCCTAAATATTTATTGATTGCCATTAACTTGGACCATTAAGCACTATCTTTTTGAAGCCCCATCTCCCCTTGCCCTCACTAATGGAGCATTCTCAATAATAAGCTTTTTCAGTTTCTTAAATGATCTTCCACAGTTCTTCCCTTTAAACTAAACTAAGGAAATATTATCATAACTGAAATATTTTCCTATTCAGCTAGAAATGAGCATTTAACTTAAAACAAATTGCAGGCCAAACTTTAAAGGGTCATTAATTTGTAATGGTACCAGAGGAACAAGGTGACTAAATGGCTGAAATTGGGCAGAATAGGCCTGATTTTCGCTTCTTATCTTCTCTGACAACATTTGTCCTTGAAAAACACATTTAATCACTGAATGCAGAAAATTAGAAGAACTTTAGCAGGATACCCTGCACATGGAAAATTCTTTTTGAATCTACTTTTCCCTCTACCTTCTCTGCTCCAGCAGTCATTCATGCCTTCCATCTCTTTATGAGAATAATGGCTTGAACCCCTTCACCTTTTCTCAACTTAAATCCTATCTCTTTGGCATTAGAATGCATTTTGACATATTGAACACAAGTGGAGCCCAACTTCTCATTCCTCTGGTTGTATATGGTGCAGAGTCACTCCAGTATGGGGCCTGCTTTTCTAATAACCCCAGATGTGCAATTTCATCCTCTCTTTTAATGTTTCCTGATTCTTCTTAAACAACTAGTGCACTCAGCTTAAAGCCCCATGAAACTTTCTTTCAACCTTTTTCCTCATAAATTATGGTTTTCTCCTACCAATTGTACTAAATGTCTTGAATCTATGCTTCTTCCCTCTACTTCCTTCTCCTAACATTGACTTCTTGCCTATTGCAATCTGACTTCTGTAGCTGCTAAATCTGCGTTCCCAGAGATCAGTAATTACCCCCGTGCACCAAATCCAGTGGCCTCCTCACATTCCTCTTCCACTTGTCTGTAGCGTGTGATATGCTTGTCCACTCCCTTGCTAAAATTCTCCTTATTGCCTTTTTCTTTACCTGCAGGCTTTACCCCTCTGCTGTTCATCACCTCCCTTGTCCATCCTTTTAAATGCTGGTGCCCTCCATTCTTAGCTGCTTCTGATTGCTCTGAATTTTCCTCACTGGATGCATCTAAGAATCACATAGGGAGCTCTTTAAAAATACAAACCCAGGCTGAGCCAGGTGGTGCATCTCTGTAATCCCAGCAATTACAGAATCGCTGAGATTCTGAGGCTGAGACAGGAGTATTGTAAATTCAAAGCCAGCCTCAGTAGCTTAGCAAGGCCCTAAGCAACTTAGTGAGATTCTGTCTCGAAATAAAAAATAAAAATGGCTGGGGATGTAGCTCAGTGGTAACGTGCCCCTGGACCAAAACAGAACAACAACAACAACAACAAAATCCAGATTAAATTCCATTAAATCTGATTAGATACATACCAATTAAATCTGATTTCTAGCCCCACTTAGAAATCAGATGTAACCCATCTGGGTTTGGATCCTGGCATCTATTTTGTTAATTGCTCCTCAGGTGATTTTTGAGTCCCACTAGGATTGAGAACCACAACTCGGGATTATCTGCTTTTATCTTCAGTTTTTACCTCATTCTTGATATATAGATCCAAATCTTCTGTTCTTTGCTGAGCATCTCAGCTTGAGTACTTCATAATACCTCACTGTCTATGTGGGGTATAAAATCACACTCATCATGTTCCCAATTCTGAGAATCTCTCTGTTTATAAGGCCACCATTTTCCCATGTTCCCATATTGGAGACCTGGAAGTCATCCTTAAACATCCCTTGTGCTTTGTCCTCAATTCATTTACTTGCCATATCCTATAGCTTTTGTTGCTGACCTGTGTCAGATACATTCTCCTTACCACCAATCAATGTCCTATAATAGGACTTATTAAAACAACTTCTTTCCTGGCCTCCCGGCCTCTGCTCTCTTTCCTCTTCATTCCATTTTCCATGTGCTCATAGAGAGATCTTTGTGGAACACAGATCTGATGACACCCACTCAATCACTATCAAAGGCTTTCTCTTACCCAAGAATAGAGTCCAAATTACTTGGTGAGGCCATATAATTTGACTCCAGTCCTCTAAAATGATTCTCCTCTATCACAGATTCCTATCCATATAATGTTCCTCAGAATGCAACTCTCTAATTGTGCTATTCTCCAAGCAAGCATTCCTTCTTGTCTTTGCTTATGCTATTATCTCTAGGATTGATTCTGCTCAGATAGCTTAAATGGAATAATTACAGAGATATGCTCCTGGTAAAGGGAAAACACAAGAGTGGTTGGTGTATCTAGAGACTAGCAAAGTGAGAGCACTTACTTTCCCTAGGCCCAGAGGGCCAAGAGGATGACAATTTTCAAAGCTCAGTGAGAGCTGAACCACAGGAAAAGGGAGCCGTCAAGGTAGGATGAGCTGTTCATAGAGAGGATTATAGCCACTGCCAGAACCACAGGGAGGAAAACAAGATGGGTCAGTGAAAAAATAACCTCTCTCTCTTCTCCTGCCCTCTCTTCTCCAATGTCTTTATTTGGCCAAACTCAATCAGAAGCTTAACCACCAGGGATGGTCAGGTGAGGCAGTTTTTTGGTTACAAAGCAGACAGAGAGAGAATGAATGGGTGAGGGAGGGCGAAATTAAGTGAAGGATAACCACAGAATCTTCTTTTATGTATAGTAAAGGCCCTTTTATTCTTTAGGACACAGTTCAAATGTCACCTTTCATGTGAAGTCTTCTTCTGTTTTTCTGTCCCAAGACTCAGTTATTTATTTATTTATTTTTAATTATGTTATAGCTATCTGGTTTTGCTTATAGAGATTTTTTTATTTCAAGAAATTATTATCCAGAATAAGCAGCATGCTCATTTTTTAGTTGTAGATGGACACAATTTCTTCCTTCTTTCCTTCCTTCCTTCCTTCCTTCCTTCCTTCCTTCCTTCCTTTCTTTCTTTCACTGAGGATCAAACCCAGGGCTCATATGTGCAAGGCAAACATTCTACCTCTGAGCTACAGCCTCAGCCCCCTGGACTCAGTTATTATTTCATGCCTCTATACCCCTTTAGCCATTGTTATGTCTTCATTTTTGCATCTATCGTCCTGACTTATGACACAATTGTTTATGTAGCTGTATCCATCTCTTGCATCACATTTTGTGCTTCTGAAGGAAATGGATAGTGCTTCATTTAGTGCAGTGTCTTGCAGGTAACAGGCACTCATAACTTGGTGGAATTTAATTGCATTCTCATATTATCACCTTCTCCGCCTTTGTCGAGGAGATTCATACATACTTGTAAACCAGAGACCTTACTTTTTTTTTTTTTCTTATTTAATGTTCCTGCTTTTCATAGTAGTTTC